ACGATCCAATTTTAAATACATTAGCGAAACACAAAGTTCTCCGGAATCGATGTACGGAAAAAATCAATTTCAGCAACTGCATCTGAAAGGTGCCACGAAAAACTGAATACACGTATCTATTATTGGCACCGCAACGTTTACAATGCCAAAACATTGAATTTCTGGCACACGTCAAACATTCAAAGAACGGGAAGCGTCCAAAATGGAGCGCTAACAACCTTGATGAAGGCATTACACTGCAAAAAAAATTCGCTCGTTCAAAAATGCGCGAAATGTGGAATGGTGGCGGTTATATATGTGGGAGAATTTCGTAGTTCCTCAACTCAAGGCAAAGCAGAATTCTGTAAGATCCATTTAGTTGCGTGCCAAAAGTTTTTCGCCGCACCAACCGCCTTTCGTTAGGTACTTTTAAAATGCTATCGATGAACAAAATCTCCCATTATTGAAATGGACCCATTAAAAGTAACTATGAGCGTTAGCTACACACATTTGCGAAGGTTAAACGAGAGATCGTGGTGAATAGGAGTTGGCAAGAGTTCAAATTCGGCCTAAAATCGATACGTAAACTACGCGTTATCCTCCATTAAAGGGCGGCGTAGTATAAATAACCACTTTTTGCGTTTAATTAAACATAGTAATTATTCTGCAGTTGCTCATCTAAAAATACAGAATTCGCGATTATGAGAGGTGGAAGTAGACGCCAGATTCTGCAGAGTAGAATGTACCGTATTTCAAATGAAGTTGTAGAATCTCAAGCTGGTCGATAAATAAATGCACCCTCTAAATCGCACACCTAAGAATTAGAACGCACTTTCCTTCCGTCCCTTTTAATTTTATTTGGATACACTACAAGTGCCCAATACCTTCTGGCTTTTGAAAATACTCCGAAGGATAACGAGTTGGCAGATGCTTGTTCATTGCTGCTCCCACAAATTTTGAGGGATCTGGTACGATTTGCTATTAGTCTACGAGTCAGAGGCAGGTCAGCTACAGTGTGTCCCTGAATTGATGTTACAAGAGGTGCCATGAACTAAAAATTTGGGATTTTTTTTGGAAAAAAGCTCTCGTTGGTGTGAGTACAATTTTAAGAATATTTTCGGTTTTTAAAAATCAAGTCGGCGTTGACAGTGAAGCAGGGAGATATACAATTGGTTTGTACAAACTATAACTTTCCCCCTCGACTCTTTTTCGAAATCTGTGAGTTACCGGAAGGGGGGGGGGGGGCTCAACGAAAGGAATCAATATTTACCAACCATAGTTCTCCTCCACTACTTATCATGATCGCATATAATTCCTTATATCTCAAGAAAATATTGTCGGAGGAAGGTTACTCACAAATCCTTATTGTTTGAGGAGGATCTTCAAGAAATATATCCATTGGCGATGTGAAACCTTTAAGAGCGAATATCTCGAAAACGGTTTGTCCGAGGAAAATACTCTCAAAGGTAAAATGAATCGACTGGACGAGAGATCTGTTGGTGATATCTTGAAAACGAAGTGTGGGAAAAGGGTACTCATAAAGGACAAGTGGAACGTCAGGCGTATCTAATGGCAATGTCAAAACGATCACCGCAAATATCTGCACTCTGCAAAACGGGGTGTCGGGTAGGGGGGGAGGGGTACTCTCAAAGGAGAATTCTTCTTGTATTACATAGGCCTTTAAAAACTATGCGTTTTCTTAAAAAATATATTCTATGCGCTTATAAAGTAGACTAAAATTACCACAATTTGAGAACAGAAACCAGAAATTGATCATTTTTTCCAAAAAAGTGAAATTTTAAGGTTTGGTCAACTTTCGACCCCAAATCTAGGAAAATACTCATTTAACGGAAAAGGGCAAAGATGTGGCAAATGTAATTTTGGCTTTAATTTAAGCACAGAACGACGCATGTAGACCACATAGTTTACTCACAAATCTTTAAAAAAATTCAGTTTGAAAAATCGGCACGATTGTCGACGTGATTTTCTCCTTCTTCGTTTGTATTTTCTCTATTACGTAGCATTATTATTGTTTCACGATACTTTCATTTGTCGGAGAACCCCTGTACCATATAAAACGTCTTATAGGGGGCACCACTTATTTGGAAAAGTTTTCCTGGCAGATATTTGGACGCATTCTTATCCTTCACTTTCGGTGTCAGTATTCAATTCTTTTTCTTCATAGGTTAAAAAGCTGAAAGCGCAAGGCAGAATGCGTGGAATTCTAATTGCCATCCTCTGAATATATCGATCTCTGGCGATTGAATTCATATTTGGGAATTCCGAAGTGATGGTTTGGATTGGATTCGCCTGTACTCCAAGTGTAGGCTATATACGAGGGTTGTTCAGAAAGTAACAGACGTTTTGAAAAATAAAAACTGTAAAATTGTAAACAAAATCTTTCATTATATACATTTGGGAGCTACAGTCTTGGGCAATTTATCAACTGTTCAAAGGCAGTTATCATAGCGTGGCACAAGAGATTTTAACCTGCACTAGGTAACGCCCAACTGTCCCTATCGAACCGCTGCTGGGTTGCGAGACAGGTCTTCATTGGTAGGAAGAGGTGAAAGTTTTGCTTTTCGACGACTACGCCCGCCTGCAAACAGTCAACCGTACTGGACAGCTCTTGAATGATTTTGGATGGGAGATTTTTGATCACCCTCCATACAGCTCGAATCTAGCACCAGCGACTTCCACCTCCTTCCCGTGATGAAGACTTCGCTCGCAACAAAACACTTGGACAGTGATGCCAAACTTCAAGCCGTCGTTAACCAAGTGGTTAAAGTCTCAGGCGGCGGATTTTTACACAGTTAGATCAAAACACTTGTACCACGCTATGATAAGTGCCTCAATATGAATGGCCACTATGTTCAAAAACAGCCTAAGAGTGTAGTACCTTCCAAAAATATAAAATAAAAATTGTTTCTTACACTTTCTTAATTTTTTATTTTAAAACGTCTGTAACTTTCTGGATACCCTTATAGTATGTACGTTTTACTCTTTTTTTAGGTTGCGTGATTTGAGCTCACTTCTTGGCGTCAACGTCCTGGTTTATTCAAGGTAAGCGTTGTTTCTATAATTATGTTACTTGTACTTGGCATTATCGGTAGGAATTTTTAACCAAAATAGCACTATACTTGTGGAGGATCGTTTTGAAATTCAGTAGTCAGTTTAATAGATCATCATTGAATCAGGGGATTCCTTAGCCAACTTTATTATTACTTCCCTCGTACCTTCGCAGTTACATACGGGGATATTGAAGGTAGAAATTGAATGGTGTACAACCTGCAACGAAGTAACGAAGATTATATCCCCTAAAGGAATCAACCGCTGTGGCAGATCTTACGCCTTTTAATTCGACACCCTGAGCTAGCTAGCCGTTTATGCGGCGGGTTTAAGGCAAAGCAGCGCCAACCCAATGCTACTGTTATTCTAGGTCATTTGCAGAAGCAAGACGAATTATAATTTGTTGAGCCCAGTTATCCTCTCGACGTCCAGCTGCTTTTCCCTCACGCCCACATTTTCAACTGTGTGGGCAAGAGACACAGGCAGTTTTTTTTTTGGAGCTTGAGAAATCATCCGGCGATTTCGTCCCCACAGAGGAAACAAAGAATGTTCTGCAGGTTACAAGATCTTGAAGAGCCTCTTCATCATGTACTGTCGATGGTCAAGGTTCATCACCACCACGGCGAACCGACGCGACAACCTTACTTTCAACCGTGTATCTTTTTCTGCATGCGTCGTGACAACTACAACTTTATCTTCCTTGACGGTGTTGCAACAAATCTGTCCGTTCCATCAAGATCTCGGCTCCTGGGCCGACACTTCGGGTTTTCTCTAATTGGTAGCTGCTATGGTCTATGGTCCGTTACTCATCATTTACAGTTGTGTTACGCGACCGCACCCACGAGTGGGTTTTGAAACATTTTTTTATATATTTATTACGGTAGAGGAAAGGGAGAAGCCAAAACTTCTTTTTTGGATGCACAACGAATGCGTAGTAGTAGGTCTCTAAGGTAATAAATTCCTAAATTACAATGTGTTGTGCAAATTACTTCGGAATTTACTCTCAACCTCGGAGCTCTCTACCTAGAGAATCAATTTTTTACGATTTTCATGTTAATCCATTTTGTGTATGAATTGCTTACTAAATTAGAAGTTTGGAATTAATGGCTACGTTGGTAACGAAATGGAGGTCGTCGGTGCAGGTTGCTATTTATAAGAGAAAAGTACCATAAATTTATTACCGCTTTTATTTGAGAGAGAAACTACTTTTCATGAAAATCATAACAATAAATTTATTTAAAGCACTTTACTCTTGTGAGCGAGCGCCACCCCCAACGGTTTCGATTTAATTACGTTCTCAAAGAGGCAATTAATTTCCAATTTGTAATTTAGTAAGCAAAAAATTCTACAATCCTCGTGTGTAATATATTTCTAGTCTAAAAATTTGGCTCCTCTTCCATGCATTCTATAATTGAGTGCCTTTATAAACAAGGTGATATAGGGGTTGGTAACGTTGCACGAATTTAATTTGGAGAACTGCGAAATGCACTTACTCGTAAAGCAAATTATATTGAAACTAAGTCTAACCAATGTAGGAAGTCTTGATATAATCATAATAATATATTAGTGGCAAACACATCATCATCAACTTTGCAAGAGAAACGAAAAATGTGCTCTGTTTTTTTTGGGTACAGCTTTGCTCAGAGCAAGAATCACGAACTAAATATAGGTACGTTTATATAAGCGATGCACCAATGCAACTGCAGTTCAAGTAAATATTCTCTCCTGGTAACCCTACTGACCCACTTATTATTCTTGGCAGTGTACCAAGTTACCAATATTTTTTGCTATGTTCGGGGAAACTTTTATATAGAAAAATGCAATACACCAAGAGAACTAATTCTCGCACCTGTCAGCAACAACCAAAGCGTTTCCATTCTCAAATGCGTTCTCGGTGTAATGTGAGTTGAGAATGGAAATATTAGTAAAGGAGTAATGAAAAAAGAACTTACCTAAATCAGATATATTCACCTTCTCCAGGAAGGGGTCAACAACAGGAAGCTGAAAATAAGCTTTAATTAATCGACCAAGTCTCAAACATTTTTCCAGGCAAACAACTACCAAGCGTTTAAAAAACGTTTTCGGCGTACGACGCACACTTTTACTAAATCGCGTGTAAAAACTAGTAAAGACGCCGCCGCCGGTCGGTGGAGGCGTCGTCGGCGGAGAGGGTGAGGATGAATAGTACCCCGAAGACGATCCATCGAAGGATGGAAACCGGCGAAACATGGTAACGCTACCGCATAAGGTAGACGCGAAATACTAAGACGCAAGAATTACATATTGTTTAGCTCGAAGATTGAATTATTTATAAGGCGATGAGATCACAGCACACACTCTTGTTTAGGAACACAAGCGAAAAACGCAAAAAAAAAAACACTAAATATCATCCGACAGTATCTATTTCGCCAGGTCAAGGTCAAAGATCGCCTCGTTCTTCAATTTGCATTTAAAAAACGTCCAGAAAAGTAAGTCATGTTCCGTTTAACGAGAAAATTAGGTTCTCGACCATTACTTTTGAACAAACGAACTACTTAGCCACTTTACAGCTCTGGTTTGTAGGCAGAGGCGGTGTTTCGTGTAATCGTGCAAAACAAATATGTTTAAGTAATGCTGTTTACATAATCTGCATAAATATCTATCGCGTTATGTAATGCAAATTTACATAAATGAAAAATATTCAAAGGCGTGCGCCATTTGTTTACCTTTGATTTATTTTCGGTTCGCAAGCAAAATCGGCTATACAGGGTGTAGAAACGGTTTACACGCCATAGGGATTTCAATGCTAATTTTTCTATATCGAAATATTTTATCCCCTAATTAATTTATTAGGTTGTAAATAGGTTTCTTGTAGATTAAAAATTTCTGCGTCTGCTCATGTACTCATTTATTATTTTACCCAAAATCGTCCTGAAACCTTCATTTTCATGCCTACTTTCTGTCAGGAAATTTTGATTTCCATGACAGAGGCAGAACAGACTACGTTTCCTGGCGCTTGTCACTTTGGCCCCACCACCGGCCGCACCGTCACTTTACCGGCTGAATCTGCGACATTGCTAAATGTCTATAATGACTACTGTCACCACTGACAGATTGACATTAATCAACAGTTCTATATAAAAATTTATATGTTATATTAAAACACGATTTCCGGTAAAATTTAATACAAATTTCGTCAGTAAAATGACATTACTTAACTCGGAAATTAAAGTACTCGGTCTAAAGGGACCTCGTACTTCAACATTTCCTCGCCAGCAACGTGACATTTTCCTGGCTCTTATGTAAAACTATTTCAATTCGGGAAACCGAAAAAATTTTCAATAACTTCACGGCACGAGTGATTTTTACTAAAATGCTTAATTATAATTTCCTTAATTTATCCGATTTCCCCCAACAAAAAATTACAAATGGGCACATGAATCGACGCAAACATTTTACGATTCACGAAAAAATTATTTACAACTTTGCTCTAAATTAATGAGAGGAAAAATATTTCAATACAAACAAATTACTATTGAAATATACGTATGGTGCGTAAACCAATTCTATACCCTGTATATTGGAGTCAATGAAGCCTAAAAACCAACCTTCTTAATATTATTGCCTACCCAGAATGGTCCTGTATAAAATGACGCTAAAAACTTGTTCCAAAGGGAATCCGTAAACAATGTACGAATAGCAGATATACACCCATGATACTTGTAGTATCAAGATATACACCTAATGATGTTTTTCCAGGTAAATATTATTAAATAATGACGTTTTTGTAAATAATACAAATAAATAATAAACATTAAGAACAAATCATTATTATACAGAGTGGGCCTTTGAAAGCCAATTTAATCGTGATACTAATCTGCTTTGCTTTTTAAATTCTATTGATTCGTTTCGGAGATATTCGCATTTGAAATGGTTTTTTTCTCCTGATTTAAGTCCTTTAGATTACTTCTTCTGGGGATATTTAAAGAATAAAGTTTATGCTACTCCGCCCGGAACATTACAAGGGTTGCGAGCACGCATAACCATAGTGTAAGAATAGAATACACTATGGTATAACCAAAGAGTAGTCCTCTTTGGTATAACTCAACAATTTCGAGCGATTACCCCTGAAATCTTGCAACATGTACGGCAGCGTTTTGAAGCAAATCTTTATTATTGCATGGAAGCAGGCGGAAGGCAATTCGAGCATTTATTGAAATAAATGTTGTCTGTTTAAAGTTATTTGTTATTTTTTGCACAATTTAAACCTTTTTTAATACAAGGTGACTTAGATCGCATTTGTGTTGTTTTTTAGAAGAAACCATTTCAAATGCGAATATCTCAGAAACGAATCAATAGAATTTAAAAAGCAAAGCAGATTAGTAATCACGATTAAATTGGCTTTCAAATAATGTGCCATTTGCCATAGGATTCCATTTAAAATTTTAGGGGTTAAGCTCCCTACGTAGAGGGGTGAAGACTTGGATTCGTGATTTGTATTCTAAAAGTTGTCCCCCTCGAATACAAAATTGACCTGTTCGAGGATTTTTCGAAATTTCTAAATTTAATACCCTAAAAGCTCTCTGTATACTTCTCGTTGGGCCACTCTGTATGTACTGTTGAGTGCTAAATGTTGCTATTATTGTTTAAACAATATAAATGATTATTAACCACGACTGTGGGAGACATTGTTGTGTGAAAATTATTTTTTCCGCATATTCAGTGATTACCTACTGTTTAATCATATAAAAGATTTCCTGAAATTGGGATGTTTCTGATTTTTAATAGTAATAAAAAACACGCATTAAAAAAAACAAATTATCAAAATCCGAGCTGTTGCTCAGAATAGAAAAGTTAAAAACCTTTGTTCCTTTGTTTTTGAGAAGTTTTGAATTGAAAAGTTAAACTATTTAGTTTTTTTTTCTAAATTTTCATTTTTCTCTAGTAAGCATCAGAGTGAAAAATGTTAATTACAGAAAAGATGTATCTTGATGAGATCTACAAAAAAGGCTTGTACACTGTGTGCGTCGGGTTCACAATAAAGAGCATTTTCTAAATATGACCAAAGATAATTGCAATGACTTAGGCAATAACTATTAAACATCAACAATATACCTCAGGTTCGTGCTGGCTAAGAATATGGACATTGATTATCTAGCTGTCTACCGCCAAACATTCGATAAGGACCCATCAACTGCAGGGCAATCATCTATCTATAGTTTTATTATTAGTTTACGACCAAAACCTTATTAGAGAAAATTTCAACTCTCTAATCAGAACTGAAAATTTTTACCAAAAATAGCTCCAACTATTTCTTTGGCACTTGGGATATAAAAGGCCCTTAATTTTTTTATTATAAGATATACCACAGAACTCCCTTACAGAAAATTTTGGCACTATTGGGGGACTATCCGCAAGAAACAATCCTTCGTAGTTTTCTAATTATGTCGCGAGTCAAAACCTTATTAGAGAAACTTCAGAACTACTCGGAACTATAATTAGAACTCAAAAATGGACACAAGTATTCCTCTTTATTATTAGGTTTACCCCATAACTTTATTGCGGACAGTTTCAAAAAAATTTAGTTTCGAATTGACACTTGACATTTCAAAAAGTTTTTTGGCGTATTTTTGAAAATATGGAAAGGCATTGTTGTGCGCATTTTGTTTGTCTGTCTGTCTAGCGAACAATATCATAATTAGATCTTTACTTAAAAGCTATTGATGAATTTTCCTCTGTAAAAGTTTTTTGTATGCTACTCACAGCAAAAAAAATGCAGCAAGAAATAAATGATTATTACTTGCAGTCAATTTTACGTTGCCTTCCATAATTGCAGTAGAGGATTCCTCATAACAATGGCTACTGTACGACAAAAAAATTTGCTTTCGATTACAAATCCTGATTTTGTATACATTTTTAGATTTGACTACAGCCCGCGGGATAGCCCTTTTTAAATTCTGATTGTTTACAATTTTAATGAATTTAATAATTTCACTAGTGTGCGTTGAACAAAACGTTATTCTTTTGTTGGTTATGTGAAAACAATTTATTGTATCAAAAATCGTTAAAAAAATTTAAGTAAATCTGCAAGATGCTTAAACATTATTTATAGTGGGGTGCGTCTCCCGGGGCGCCTACAGAACTAAGAGAAAAATCGTTTTTTCTACAATCGATATCCAAATTCATCTTTTTCGAGGACTGTCACTTTAAGCGACTAAATAAAAAACACTCGCTCTCTCAGTTATTAACTATAAATCAAATATGCATTGGTCAGAATATCCAATAACAACGAGACATCTAGGTGTATGATCCAAGATGTCACATCTTTAATTTGAGTAGATGTAAATTTTTGGAAATATGTGAATTGCTTGATTATAGAAAAAATCTTGTGTGTAATTCGAGTGCAAATTGATTGTCGATTTCAACTGTCTCTTTCAATCGACAATATATCATTTTGGGCTCTTAATACACAAATAGCTATTTTATGGAAGGCAATTTTGGTGCGGTATTATTAAATGAACTTTTTACTGCATTTTCAAAAAATAAAAAGTGCACTTTTGCGTTCCGGAACTACACCACTTACAGACTTTGTATTGGTGTCACCTGAACCTGAATGCGATAGGTGGGCTACAGGTAGTTTTACCATGTATTGACAGACGAAAAAAAATCGATGGGTCGCGATAAAAATATAGTATTCCGTTTAATCATTGAGTAATTAAATATCAACGGTTTAATGTAAAAATGTATCAATTTCCCAGAACTACTACCATATTCAAAATATTTTCGGCCCACTCCGCACTTTTATAGATATTCTAAAATCTAAAAGTATCTGAATCTGAATTTTAAATATAAAAGATATAGACAAATTTTCAAAACCATCTCTCGGTGGGGCAACGTTTCTAACCTTCAATCCGGCCGCTCCCACACTTACAAATTTTAAAAAACAAATTAATTACTGGAAGATGAATTTATTTATTTTAAAATAAACATTATTGATCTGTAGCCGTATACTTACTCAGTTT